CACACACACACACACACACACACACACACACACACACACACACACACACACACACACACACACACACACACACACACACACACACACACACACACACACACACACACACACACACACACACACACACACACACACACACACACACACACACACACACACACACACACACACACACACAACACACTCCAGGTTGTAGATTCCACGAAGCTCCTCGGCGTCACCATAGACAACAAACTAAATTGGAAACCACACGTCAGTGAAGTTGTCAAATCCTCCAGTTTCCGTCTCCACCTCCTCCGCCGACTCAAGTCCCTCGGAGTTCCCGCACACGAGCTCCTCAGTGTATACACAACATTCATACTTCCCAAGCTCACCTATGCCTCCCCCACCTGGTCTTCCTCCCTAAATGCCACACAACGTAAACACCTAGAAAAAGTGCAAAAGAGGGCATGCAAGATTATTCTCTCCCCTTCCTACTCCACATATCAAGAAGCGCTCAACACACTGACCCTTTCGACTCTCACTGACCATCACCACGGCCTCATCTGCAAATTTGGTAAGAAGCTTCTACACCATCCCCGACACCGGCCCCTACTACCACCTGAGATCCCCTGTCCGAGAATTGCTGTTCGACACCACAACCGCATCCAGCCCATACGTGCACGAACTGATCGCTATAAGAACAGCCCAGTCCCAACCATTGTAAAAATTATCAATAACATGTAATAAATCAGTGTATTCACTCCCAGTAAACACTGCTCCCTACACTGTCACTATGTTGAAATGAACTGTATTTTGAGCTGATCCCCATCTAAGTTACTATATGTCTTATTTGTGTCACTTATGTCACTTGTACATTATTTGTAATTCGTAACCCATTCCCCAAATATGTAACTGTATATTTTCAGCCTTCTGGCTGCCAAGCTCTTTCAATAAACCGTTAATTATTATTATTATTATTATTACACACACACACATTATTACTCTGATTTAACCACGATTTTTCCCATATCACCTGAACATTACCTTCCCAAGATTATTTCACCTGAACTACAACCACCCTAACGCTAACCTAACCTAACCCCACAGGTGTGTTGGTGACGGTAACAGGTGTGTTGGTGACGGTAGCAGGTGTGTTGGTGACGGTAACAGGTGTGTTGGTGACGGTAACAGGTGTGTCCATCAGGTTGACTGCTCCCCCAACACGGACAGGAAGTCATGGTCCTGTAGGGGGTGGGGGTAGGGGGTGAAGGAGGGAGGGAGGGGGGAGAGGGTCACTCATTGTTACTTCCTGTTGTAGTTACGAAAGAGTGTGGGTATAACAATGACACTCCCTCCCTCCCTCCCTCCTTCTCTTCCTTCCTTCCTTCCTTCCTCTTTCATTCACTCTCCCTATCTCTCTCTGTCCTCTCCTCCCTCGCTTCCTTTCGCTTCCCTGTTATCTACCTCCTTCCCTGCCCCAATCATTCTTCCTCTCTCTCTCTCTCTCTCTCTCTCTCTCTCTCTCTCTCTCTCTCTCTCCTTATGGGAACACCTCAGTCAACACAACACAACACAAGTTTGACCCCTGCAACTGTCACAACACAAAGTTTACTCAGAAACACGATGAATAAACCAGATTTACGTCTCTTACTAAACAACGTAACCTACCCTAACAAAATTATAATGTCTTAACTTTCAAAGGTTAGGTCAGTTTAGGGTAGATTAGATTCGATTCCCTAAGTTTAGTTAAAAGAGGTTAAGTAAGGTTAGGTTACGTTAGATTAGGTTAGAATAAATTAGATTAGGTTACGTTTGGTTAATTTAAGTTACGTTTGGTTAATCTAGGTTACGTTTGGTTAATTTAGATTAGGTTAAGTTAGGTAAGGTTTACGTACAATTGAAATAAGCTGAGTTGTCTAGTCTTCAGGCGATCACTCCCAAACACAAGGAAAAAAACAAAATATTCACATCAACAAGTCAATTTTACCTTGGATGGTTAATGACTCAACCGCAGTGTTTATTGTTTCGCCACCAGCACAGGTAATACTGTAGCGGTAAGCACAGCTGGAATGACATTGGTCGGTGAAGAGACGTGTAAGCAAGGACATTGTGATCACCAGGGCATACATACAGACATAGGTAGGCAGACAGGTAGGTAGGTAGGCAGACAGGTAGGTAGGCAGGTAGGTAGGTAGGCAGGCAGGCAGGTAGGTAGGTAGGTAGGTAGGTAGATAGGCTCGCTCTCTCATAACATCAACACAACTGCCATAGACTATAGTAAGACGCCCTAGAAAGTCACACCAAATTGAACACCACAACTGGGAAACGCTGTGCACTTTTCTAATTAAAGACGCCCCACTGTGACGGTAAACAACCATGACACACTTTGTTAGCACAGGTAGTGGGCACAACAACAACATGGGTCAACGTACGAGTTCTCCCATACAATTATTATTTTTTTTTTGACCCGTTTTCTTTGATTTGTTCTTCAGATTTGCTATTTTTTTACTCCAGAAAAAAAAAAATATAAAATAAACCTAGTGTACATCTATAGAAGGGGAGTATTTTCTATATAAAGTGGTATTTATTTTACATGATACAGGTACAGTATGTAACTCACTTGATACTGTACTCCAACAGCGGTATTTTTTTCCCATAATTAAATTTACACGGTACTTATATGTAGTAATTATTTTCCACAGTTCTGCATTCATACTACACGGCACTGTACTTACATCATGCGATACTGTCCTCCTATTATGCGGTACAGTACTTCTATTATGCGGTACAGTAATTATATTACGCGGTACAGTACTCTATTATGCGGTACAGTACACTCTCACTCAATACGCCGCAATAGTAGAGAGTTTCTCAACCCATGACAGCATCCATCGCCTCACTGAGCATAATCATGTGAAGGAGGTAACTCTATGATGTCGTCTGGCGCGCACACACACACACACACACACACACACACACACACACACACACACACACACACACACACACACACACACACACAGCTTCTACACCATCCCCGACACCGGCTCCTACTACCACCTGAGATCCCTTGTCCGAGAATTGCTGTTCGACACCACAACCGCATCCAGCCCATACGTGCACGAACTGATCGCTATAAGAACAGCCCAGTCCCAACCATTGTAAAAATTATCAATAACTTGTAATAAATCAGTGTATTCACTCCCAGTAAACACTGCTCCTTACACTGCCACTATGTTGAAATGAACTGTAGTTTGAGCTTTTCCCCATCTAGTTATTATATGTCTTATTTGTGTCACTTATGTTACTTGTATATTATTTGTAATTCGTAACCCATTCCCCAAATATGTAACTGTATATTTTCAGCCTTCTGGCTGCCAAGCTCTTTCAATAAACCGTTAATTATTATTATTATTATTATTATTATTATTACACACACTTACCTTCCTATTACAGCCTTGAGTGAACCTGAAGACGTGGGTGTGGTGGGCGTGGTGATGGTGGTAACAGTGGTGGTGACGGTGGTGGTAACAGTGGTGGTGATGGTGGTGGTGGTGGTAACAGTGGTGGTGACGGTGGTGGTGTTGATAGTGAAGGTGATACGATAGTGGTGGTGGTGGTAGTAGTGATCTTAATGGTTATTCTATTCTCACAGCTGTTAAGAGCCTATGGGGTCGATGGACAGTAGTGACGTCCAGGTGGTGTGTGTGGAAGGTGGCAGATGGTGTAGGACTGTGGGGAGGAGGAGAGGGTTGTGAGGAGGAGGGTGGTGGGGAGGAGACGGTGGTGAGGAGGGAGGGTTGTGGGGACAGAAAGGTGGAGACAGTGGTGGTGGGGAGGGCGATGGGAGGAGGTTGTGGGAGGAAAGAGTGGTGGGGGAGATGAGGAGGAGGAGAAGACCAGGTGTGTATGTGTTCGTGTCAGGTATCATTATCTTGGCTAAACAGTTAACACACACACACACACACACACACACACACACACACACACACACACACACACACACACACACACACACACACACACACACACACACACACACACACACACACACACACACACACACACACACACACACACACACACACACACACACACACACACACACACACACACACACACACACACACACACACACACACACACACACACACACACACACACACACACACACACACACACACACACACACACACACACACACACACACACACACACACACACACACACACACACACACACACACACACACACACACACACACACACACACACACACACACACACACACACACACACACACACACACACACACACACACACACACACACCCAAGTGACTCGTGTTATTTCATTACTGTTCTTTTATCATAAAGTTTACGTTATGGATCATTTGCCCCAAGAACAACACTCACCTCACACCTCCCCCTCTTGGACCACTGTATACCCACAAGCCCCCGAGCTGAGGTTTATACATAGTGGCACAGGGAATGATGTTCACTCACCGCCTTACAGATTTTCGTGGGGATCTCGTGAATGTTTATAATACAACAGCAACATTTGTCCTCACTCGTGCGAGGTCTCCCACGAGTGAGGACAAATGTTGATGATGTAATTTAAACATTCAGACGATCACCATAAAAAAAATTGTAAGGTTATGTGTGTAGGTTATAAATTTTCTGAGGCACCCTGAATATGTTGTTGCTTGTTTACAACCTTAAATACAGTGCCAGACTCTTAAATAATATACACCATTCGTCATTCAAGAACATAAATATATAAATGGACTTATTTAAGGTAATGGTTAAACATCCTAACACTACCTAAAGGAGGATAAGGTTAGATCAGATTAGATTAAGTAAGGATATGTTAGGTTAGGATAAGTTAGGTTTGTTAGGTTAGATGGTGGTTAATCTTCTGATGAGAACTGGGGTGATCAGAATAAAATTTTAATAGACTGAAATAAGACTCCCAGAGCGGCCTAAGTAAACCAGTAAGACCTAAGGCATTAATAACAAACCTCGTGGCGGGCGGCGTCAGTACCCTTAGATGACGTGTCTCTCTTAGCGTCGCCTCTCCCTCTACCCTCCTCTCGCGATTCCTTCTTCTTGGAACTCTTGGACCTGGAGACCTCAACGCGTCGCCGGTAGTGAGAGAAGGGCGAGGAGGACGACGATGACAGCGACGACGAGGAGAGGACGGAGTGAGAGGAGGAGCTCTTGTAGAACTTCTTGGAGCGTCCCTTGAGGGTGTTGCTGTGGTGGTGGTGGAGCTTGGCGTGGGGCAGGTGGAAGCGCTGCACCTGTGTGTCGCCCTCCACCACACCCTTGGCCTCGCCCCTCTCCCCCCGGATCATCAGCTTCAGCAGGTCAGAGAACATGTTGGACAGTGCGCTACTCACAACTACTCAAAACAGATGTAACGTTATGGGCGTGCCGAGCCACCGTCCTGTTCTTAGCGGAGTGTCCTTATCTTTTTATTTTCGACGCTGTGTTCATAAATTATCTTATCATCGATGCTCTTACCGATTCACTTCAAGCGTTGTTGTTTTTTATTATCATCAAGGTCCCACGAGTCTAGGTACTCCTCAAGGCATCACTTGGGCCATATCATCGGCTACACCACCACTACTGTCTTGGTCATGCCTCCTTGTCTTTACGCCCACGCAGGAGGTCTTAATCTCCCCGCCCAGCGGCTATTCGGGCGACCCCCTCACGCCCACGGGTTGTCTAAGGGCCGCGCCCTTTGAAGATGTTCCTTCACCCGAGAAGGCCCAGCCAAGTGTGGTGGTGCGCCGGAGTGCCGCTGGTCGCCACACTAACAATAGTCACTTCATTCTAACACTTGAGTGCCAGGCCGACCATTACCATCGTCACCCTCACACACTCCTCCCGTGTCGCAGTGTTCATGCAGGAGGGGAAAGTCACTTTCTAGCAGCGTTAAGGCATCTTTATGTAGACCATCAAGATGTATTCCTTCCAACTTACCTCAATTTCTCTGTAATTTTTGTGAACAAGAGTAAAAATGTCCACATGACTTCAAATCGTTAAGTACAAACAAGTCATGACGCTCTCAACACTACACTAACCTTTCACACGCATACTGATTATTTAATACACACACACACACACAACCAAGTGACAATTCTCCAAATAATAGTCGTCATTAAAATAATCTCCATCGTCAATTTTACAGCTTCACTCAATCTCCTCTCTACCTCCCTCCCTCCTCTCTACCTCCCTCCCTCCCTCCCTCTACCCCCCTCCCTCCCTCTCTCTACTTCCCTCCCTCCCTCTACCTCCCTCCCTCTCTCTACCTCTCTACCTCCCTCTACCTCTCTACCTCCATCCCTCCCTCAACAACCACGAGGCCAAAGCCAAGACCACTATTAAAACTTGACAAGCAGCAACGAGGTAAACCATTAGATGATGCTAACAGAACATAACAACAGAAGCAATAACAGAAAATAACAACAGAAGTAATAAAAGAAACAACAGAAGTAATAACAGAAAATAACAACAGAAGTAATAACAGAAAACAACAGAAGCAATAACAGAAAACAACAACAACAGAAGCAATAACAAAAAACAAAAACAAAACAAGTAAACAGAAGCAGTAACAGAATAAACAATAGCCACAACCTGCAGCAGTAGTTGGGAACCATCTACACTGACGACAAAAACAACAACAATTACTGAAGCATCAACAACCATTAGCCACTACCATCACCATCAGTAGCAAACAAGCAGCAATAGTGGGAGTTGGAGTGTTATTAATATCACCATGTAATAACTATATCATATCGTCTATTGCAGTTTACAGTTTTCCATTACCACAATACTACCACCATCACCACAGCCACCATCACCTACCATTACTACTACTACTACTACTACTACTACTACCACCATCACGACAACCACCATCACCTGCCATTACTACTACTACTACTACTACCACCATCACCACAGCCACCATCACCTACCATTACTACTACTACTACTACTACTACCACCATCACGACAACCACCATCACCTACCATTACTACTACCATCACCATCTTTAACTACCACAACTACAACAATCAATATTCACCAACTACCACAACCTACAACTATCCATAACCACAATCTACCTAGTAAAGCTACGTGTATTCAGAGAGAGAGAGAAGACGATTGTTGTCACCGAGTGTGTCAGCCGCCCTGAACTGTATTGACTGCCCCTCCCTCCCCCCACCCTCCCTCTCTCTTACTGTGAATTTCTTTTTCTCGTTTCAACTGTCTATTCATCTATCTTTCTCTCTTTCTCTCCATCAAGTCTCTCTATCTACCCTCTTCTCTCCCCCCAACACACCCCACCCACCCACCACCCCCTCATTTCCCCCAACACACCCACCCCATCCCCCCCTCACAAGGAATCAACAGCTGCCACGTATAAACTTTGAATCATTACTTCACATTTGCAACAGTTACGTCACGACCCGACCAATAAGTGGGTCGAGCCCGGGTGTTACGTCACGGTGCGCTCATTCATAACATGTTACCTCAGTTACCCGTTAAATTAGTCGGAGACACTTCCGTTTTCTTAACATTAAACGACGATGAAAATGAATGTCGTGTAATCGTCTCTCTCTCTCTCTCTCTCTCTCTCTCTCCCTTTTCTTTCTCACTCCCTCTCACCTTCTCTCTTTGCTTTCTCTCCTCTCTATACTTCCGTTTTCGTAACATAACACAGCGAAGAAATATATCAATGGTCTGTCTGTCTCCCAGGCGAATAAATATCCTCATTGACAATAAACTCAAGCTAAATTGGCCCTCATTATAGAGTCAACTCGGTTAAACCACAAATAAGTGACCTTTAAAACCCAGCAACTCGGTAGGAAACACACACCAGTGACCTGGCCTCTCCACTCTGAATAATACGTGAGTGACGCGGTGGGTGACGGTGGTGAGTGACGCAGTAAGTGACGCGGAGGGGGTGACGCGGTGAGTGACGCGGGGGTCGACGCGGTGAGTGACGGTGAATAACGTGAGTGACAGGAACCGAAAGTAAACCATTTCTAAAAAAAAAAAAAAAAAGTTCCCAAAATAATCTCAAGAGTTATGGAAGACACTCCGGGTTACAGACTGACAGACAGACAGACAAAGTAATCACACAACACACACCCACAAAGTACAAGCATTATATCCCAGTTCTTATGTTTTAAAAAGAATTAATTTACTTATTCATTTAATAATACTGTATATTGCTATTTCAGAATTTTTTTTATGTATAATTCTCAAAGGTCTTTATTTCACCGTCACTTATCAGATGTGTGACGTGAGGGAAGGTCGTCACATCTCCTCGACCGACCAGAATTCAGCGTCACCAAACTATCATTTGTCAGACGCGCGACAGATACTTTACGTAGAGGTTGGACACGACCAATCATCCAGACAGACAGTAGATTTGATGTTTTATTCAGCTTCATTATCAAGGAAAATGACTAGGTTAGGTTAGGTTTTACAGCGGGATGAGCAGCAGTAAGAACAACAGGGTGGTTAGGTTAGATTTTACAGCGGGGTGAACAGCACCAACAGCAATAAGAACAGCAGGGTGATGTGGCTGTGAGCGCGGGTCTAGCAACAGTGAAGGAGGTCCACCTCTGTTCCAACACTTGACTCGTGACCTATTTTCTTGTGTGTGTGTGTGTGTGTGTGTCTGGCGCCAGCACCTCCAGGCAGTATAACCAACCCCCCCCCCACACACAAACACCTTTACCTGTCCACCTGACCCCTGCCTCAACACTCGTCATCATGTAACCACACCTCCATCAAAACCACACCTTCCTCACCTCCCTCACAATCACAACCACACCTTCTTCGTAACCACACTTTCCTCACCTCCCTCACCACCACACCCCCCTCACAACCACCCCCTCACCACCACACCCCCCTCACCACCACCCCTCACCACCACACCCCACAACCACCCCCACCACCACCCCCTCACCACCACACCTCCCTCACCACCACAACCCCCTCACAACCCCCCCCTTCACAATATGAGCAGCAGTAACCTCCAGATGACATATGCAAGCCTCGGTGTCAACAGCAGGTGCCAGTCTCCGCGTGTCAAGTGCTTAGCCACATCAGCTGATCACCTGTAAACACGAGTCAGCTGATCACCTGTAAACACGAGTCAGCTGATCACCCGTAAACACGAGTCAGCTGTGATTGTCGAGCCTCGTTAACATACTCCCGGGTGACTCCTGAGCACGTGGAAGAGAATGACAGGATGGGGGAAGAGAGGGAAGACGTTGGAGAGGGATTGGAGAGGGTCGGAGTGGGAGAGATGGGAAGGGAGGAGGGAGGAAAGAGGGAGTGTACGGGTCATGGCTTCAGGCACACACACACACACACACATATGATCACGAACTGGACAAGGTTATCATTGTCACGTTGGGTTAAATCAGGGCAAAGGCACCTGTAGCTGGCAGTTAAAGACCCACGTCACTGCCATACCATCACTGTCACATCATTATCTCATCACCATCACTGTCACATTATCACCATCACTGTCACACATCATCATCACTCTCCTCAATTCACTATCTTAATAGCTCACACACACACACACACACACACACACACACACGTGAATTGAGTAAATTACCTAACATTCTTACATTACAACGTCTCAATATTGTGCTAAGTGGATCACCTGAAGAATAGCCCCTCCCATCTTATTTCACCTGGGGAGGGGGGGGGAGGGGTGAGACTAGGTAAGGTTAGCGTTAGGTTAGGTTAGCGTTAGGTTAGGTTAGCGTGAGGTTAGGTTAGCGTTAGGTTAGGTTAATAACTCCCCGATGTTTAGACAGACACACAATCAGACACAGCTCCTTAGCACAGATAGACAATTGGGTTCTCTCTTCCCATTGAGTGCTGTGAGCTGACGACACAACACACCACTACTGAGAGGAAATGGAGAAAAAAAAATTGTATATATGCCCTACTGAGGCCTTATACACCACCACCCCCTGCAGCCACGACACACCACACACACTACTGTGAGCTTATGACACAGCACAGACCTGTTGATCACAGCTTGCGAAACAAACACACGGATCACCTGAAGATTAGGCACCCCACCTTATTTCATCTGATGATTAAACACCTCAACACTACCTGGTGGGAGGGGGGGGATTAGATTAGGTTAGGTTATGTTAGGTTATGTTAGGCTAGGTTGGGTTGGGTTAGGTTAATTTAGCCTTTGAGTGTTAAATCATCACGTGAAATAAAACGGGGTGCCTAATCTTCAGGTGATCCAAACACATCATTACAGGGATGTGAGTTACCGACAGCAGTACAGTCTATTAGCTTGAATCACTGAAGCTAACAGACCTGCACCAAGAGCTATCAACATCCAAGCTAAAAATACAAGGCGTTCAGTATGTTGACACTTGTTTATGATGATGACGCAGCTACCTGATGCTGTAACCCACACACTTACAACACCACGCTGGACGTACTCAACACCTCCAACACCACGCTGGACGTACTCAACACCTCCAACACCACGCTGGACGTACTCAACACCTCCAACACCACGCTGGACGTACTCAACACCTCCAACACCACGCTGGACGTACTCAACACCTCCAACACCACGCTGGACGTACTCAGCACCTCCAACACCCCGCTGGACGTACTCAACACCTCCAACACCACGCTGGACGTACTCAACACCAACGCTGGACGTACTTAACACCTCCAACACCACGCTGGACGTACTCAACACCTCCAACACCACGCTGGACGTACTCAACACCTCCAACACCACGCTGGACGTACTCAACACTAGAGAGATCTATACCGTAATATAACATCACAACACAGGGATGAGGTGCCGTAAACCCAAGACACTGACTGATGATTATTGTGAGCGTTGGTGTGGTCACGTTCACAAACCTAACCTAACCTAACCTAACCTAACCTAACCTAACCTAACCTAACTT